AAAATGTTTTTGCTTAGGCTCTAATTTAGTTATGATAATTCAGTTTTTTGAACAATAAAATAATTCGAATATACGTCTACAAAGTTGTGCATGAGGATTTGCGGATGATCTTACAAGTGTTTTTAATTTTCCTAAATAATTTTCGAAGGGAAAGCAACTAATTGTATTTAAATTACCAAAATTCCTCACATCTGTTACTAAGTGAATTAAACTGTGAACATTATATGTTACTACTTCTTTCCCATAAGATTTTTCAAAATACTTTACAAAATTATACAAAACTTCTTCTGCAAAATTAATATATTTAGAAATATGATTATCATTACTCAAAATTGTAATACCAACATGAAACATTAAAAAATGATTATAAAGTTGTTTAGGCAAAATATTTATTAAAGAAATTGGACCAATATATAATAAAAATAATCTAAACTCATTTGCTTTCCATCGATTTAAGTCCGATATAGGTCTAGGTTTTCGAGAAAATTCACGAACTATATAAGGACGTAACGAAATTAATTTATCCGATAAATTATTAATGATTCTTCCAGATAATTTGAAAGGAGGTTTCCCCTTTAATGTCCATAATATCAGCAATTTTTTCATTATTCCTAAATATACTAAATGCATAGGATCTAATGGAAATTGACTCACTAAATCTACATTTAGATCCAATAATGGAGATCTTCCCTTATGATGTTCTTCATGTATTTGTTCAATAAAAGTTTCTTTTGATTTAAGTTGTCCGCTTTTATATGAAAAAATTATTTTATGATTAATATATTCTCCCTCAATATTGCATTTTTCACATCCATGCCTAGAATTATGACCTACACAGCATTTTAGAAAAGCTCGTGCAGGAGCATCACAAATCAAAGATCTAATTCTAATTTGAAATAATTTATGACTTATTTCAATACCATTCTTTAATATATTATTAAGTTCGTGTATCAAATTTTGTAAATAAAGGTCAATAGGTTCTGGCTTTCCTCGGCCAGTGAATAAACCTACAATAAATAGTTTATTTGATGAAATTAAAGTTAATGATCTACAAAGAATAGGCCAGACAACCGTGCTATTACTTTTAAACAAGGGTAAACCGTCAATATTAAAATCTAAATCAATTATTTTTGAGCATGGTTCTTTCTCTAATAGAAGATGCAACTGATCATATATACCAAAATAAGTAAATTTTCCATTTTGCAAATCAATTGAATTTGTAGTTCTTGGAGTGTATAACAAAGACCTTCCAGATAATGGTAAAGGTATATTATAGTGATATGGACTTAGTAATGACAATAAGTCATCTAATGCTGATAGTGTAATGTTATGTGTTAGAGCCCACTTCCTCAATTTATTTAGGAAATCATCAGATAATGATTCACACTCTGAAGAATCATGTTCTTCACTGACATATAGTTCTTGAAATGTCTCACATGTAATATTAGAGGTTTCATTAAATAATTTCTTGTTTTTTAATTCATTATTATGAGTTAATTCCTTGTCTTCGAATTCATTATTCTGTTGATTATATCTTTGATCTAAATTCAATTCCGAATCTTGATCTACGTTTGATTCAAAATGTGCATCGATAACTGAATGTGATGTTGATGGTTCATCGGTAATTGAATATGATATTGATTTTGCCTGATTAAATTCATTTAATAATTCCTGGACTTGGTTTTGTATATTTCTTTTTGTTTGCTTTTTACTAAGAAATTTAGTTTCTTTTATTATATTCATATTTAAAAACAATTGAGAATTTTTTCTATTATTTTTTAAATGAGTTAAAATATAATATATATGTATATAATGTATATAATATTATATAATGTATCTAATAATATGTATATATGTATAATATACGGCCAAATACTTATATTCTGGATATATTATTTCCTGGAAACATTAATTACAAGCATTATAATTAAGGAACAAAAGAATAATATATAATTTTGTAAAATAATTTGAATAATATATAATATTAAAATATAATATTCATATATAATATTACATATATAATATTAATAATATATAATATTGTAAAAGTTTTTAATATATCCCTACATAGTAGAAAATGTGAAATGTCAATCAGATATTACACGCAAATTGATATTTTCTTATTAAATGTAAAATATATTACATGTAAAATGATATTTAATTCACATCTCATTGTCATTAAAAAATGTGTTTTTTGTATGTATATAGAAATATATCATGAAATTACGTAATTTAACTCATTCATCAAATATATTATTAAATCATATATAACTTACCTTATTTGTTACAGAAGTGTAATAAAATATATATATATATATATATATATATATATATGTATATATATATATATATCCGTGTGTATGTTATATTAATTAATACTTTGTACTTTCTACGGATTTCACTGTGTAGTCGGTGTTTTCTAATCAACATAACCTATATGTGTTATGATCTAACACGTGAATCGATTATAACCTCACTGCTCTTTTTAACACTTTTCCGTATTTCACTCAAAGTATTCCATAGTTTACTTACTATTTACAATGTTTACAAGCACTATATATTCTTTAAACAGCAACGAAGATTTTATGATCGTTGCAAACACTTACTATAAGCGGAAGATAGTGGAATATCTTGCAATAAGACAACGAGGAAAGTGAAAAAGAGAGAGAATGAGTGTGAGAGAGAGAAAGAGAAAGAGAGTGAGAGAGAGAGAGAGAGAGAGAGGGAGAGAGAGAGAGAGAGAGTTGCTGTTACCATAAAATCTGAAATATGAATGTATATATTTTAATCTAATTAAAATAATTGAATTATAATTAATATAATTAATAAATAATATATTTAAAAAAAGGAATATTCATATATTTGGAAATAGAAATTAATATATAGTTTTCATAATTATTGTATATATATATATATATATATATATATATATATATATATATATATACATAATTTAAAATTAATTTGAAATGAATTAAAAATTAGTTTTTATTATGTCCATAGAAACGTGAAACATACGTTTCTTTAACTATGATTTTAAAAACGTTTCTATAGAAACGTTTCTTATTTATACATTACGGTTAAAAAATATTGAATACGTTTAAGAAACGTATATAAAACGAACATGTGCTACCTGGGTTATCATACCCTTTTTATTTTTAAAATCGTGTGCTTTTATTTCTTTTTAATATTGGTTTGGGCATTCCGTATGATTTATCAATTTCATCTACTAATGTAATAACAGCTGGTTGTTGAGGTTTCTTTTTTCTATGTTGGATAATTATCCATGCTATTAATCCTATAATGGTTAAAATAGATCCGCTGAAGGTTGTTGTATAGATGAATTGTTTTTGTTTAAAAAAGTTACTGTCGTCATTATTTAAGTCATTATTAATTTCTTCTAATTTGTTTTTTAATCCTTTTAATTCTAGTGGATTATTAATTATTTTTTTGAATTCGTATTCGTGGTTCTGTGTGTCGTTAATTTCTGAGGTTGTTATATTAAACTCTGGTAAAAATGTTTCTATACTTGTATTATAAGTAATCGTTTCTGTTTCTATTGTCATGTCTGTAGTCGTTAGTTTACAGTTATCATGTAGTGTGATCCGGCCTGTGTGTTTGATTATTCTTTTATATTCAGGATGATTATTACATTTTATCGTAACATGTTGTTCGACCGGTGTCGAATATAGCCAGGAGTGCGGCTGTTGTAATGTGATCCATATTGCGCTGGTCACTTTCTTATGACCTATGTTACATTGATTGCGATAGTTTTGTACATAAATTTTCGTTTCACACGGTGTATTTTCATTTACATGGTATACTGGTTGAATTTTTTCGCATATAAATAAATCATTATTATTCGTACATTTGTTTAAATCTTGTTCCTTTAGAATTATATAGGTACGTGTTTCTTTGTTTACAGCAATCAACTTATTAACTACTTCTGTATATATAAAATTATTTTCGTAGTTAGGTATGGGTAATGGAATTACGTTTAAGACGTTAAATACTGGTTGTTTGATCAATGGAAATTTCAGAATTGTGTATATGTTTGTTTTTTCGCAATACGCGCTTACTTTCATGAATTTTTCGATTGTTTGCCATTCGTCGATTTTTATTTGGAAAGGAAAATATGTTCCTTGCGGTAACTGTAGTACTGCTTCTTCTAAATATAGAATAATTTCATTTATTGGAGTTAACAAAGGATGTATTGTTCCCTTACGTATATATGTAAGATATTCTAGAATATCTTTCGCATCCCTAATTAAATCGTTTATCATTGCTATGATTATGGTAAAGTGTTCGTCTATTTCTTCGCGCGTGGTATATTCCCTAATGAAATGGTTCATTAGTTTACCGTTATAATCTAATATATTTTCTAATTTATTTAGATGAATTATTGTTGTGTTCAAAACTTTAATTTGATTTTTTGCTGCGTGTTCCAGCGTTTGTTGGTTATTTCGTAATAGCTGTATCTGTTCATTTATTAATTTTCTATCGTTCGCGTCCATAATTCCGAATAATGTTTTTGTTATCGAACCTATTCCATCGATAAGACCTCTACGTTTATTCGTTCGAGTCTTGTATAATGTATTTATTAACTTTATTATTTTGGCTAAAGTTTTGGAATCGTTATTAATTAATTTTTTAAGATTATCGCAAGTTCGTTGGGTGCTCGTATCGAATTTTATCTCGGTGCACATCTTACTTGTTTGTTCGATATATTAGTTTATCTGCCATGTTCTATCGTTTAGTTCTGTTATATCTAATTTAATTACTAGTTTCCACATCCGGTTTGTTTGATGCAGGTGTCCAATTTTTTCATAATATATTCCTGGCGTATTATCAAATTCCGCCACTTCAAATGGAAGATGTGTTTCATTTTTCTGAGTGCGGACAGGGTTGGTTCCCAGCGTCAGTGTTCTGTAATTACATATTGTAGGTATTATATTTATATATATATATATATATATATATATATATATATATGTATAAATGTATGCACTCTATGGGTGTCATGTTGTTTCTTGCCTGCTAACTTTATCAGTGTGGGATTAGTTTTTAATCTTTTTCGATTTAGCTTTGCTATGCATTATGTCGTTTTGCGAGCTTCAGTCTCTCGCTAGTCGCTGGACTGTTTGTTATAAAAAATGTCGAGCTATCCATCATCGTCTGGTGAATTTATTTGTGGTGACGATGATCTTTGTGAGGCGGATGTTCCGCGAGTGCGGGACGTGTCATGTGGCCCGCCCTTGCCACCTGGCCGATTTGAGCAGGCCTGTGCAAGGGTTTATCTACGTGGACCTTTATCGCTGCGGGTTACCTATGACTTTGAATTGGAGGAGCGTATTATAGAGGAGGTAGTTCCTCTCTCTCTCAGTTTCCTCCACTGGGAGTGGGAGTTTTTAAACATTTTTCGGGCAGAGGAGGCTCGCCTCTTTGAAGAGATGCGGGCCCAACAGGGAGTTGGTCGTGCGGCGCGTCTTCGCCTCTTGTGCCGAGGTGGACCCGGCATTGGGAGGGCCCGTGGCCCGCTGCCTCCTGCCCACCTTCTGGAGGGATTGCGAGGACCTGGTCGTGGACATGGTCGCCCGCATGGGTAAGTAGATTTTTATTATTTCTAATGTTCTACGAATAGTTTTAATTTGTTTGTATGTATCCGTATTGTTTTTCTCCCCTTTTTTATTGTATAGTTTACGTCGGAGTTCTTTTCTAAAATCGTATATGGTCCTGTCCATAGTGACTCTAGACTTTTTCGATCTTCCGCGTCGTAACGTTTCATCGTATACTAACACTTTGTCTCCTACTTTGAATTGTGTATCCTTTGTATTTTTATCATACTGTTTTTTGGCTTTATATTTTTCTTCTTTTATATGTTCTTTTGCGATTTGGTTTGTTGCGCGTAATCTTTCTTTTAATTCTTGCGCGTAATCGTCATAATTATATGTTAGTTTCGGCGGTTTTGTTAATGCGGTCGGCATCTCGGCTTGATGTCCGTACATTAGTTCAAACGGTGTATATCCCGTGGCGGTATGTGGCGTCGTATTATACATGAACATCGCGAACGGTATCCATTCGTCCCAGTCTGTTTGGTCCTTATTTATGTAATGTCTTAGATATTCGGCTAGTGTTCGATGCGATCGTTCTAACGCGCCGTTGCTTTCCGGGTGATACGCGGTCGTTTGTATTTTATTTATTTTTAGTAATTTGCACGTGTTTTTAAATATCTCGCTCATAAAATTAGTTCCTTGATCTGTTAAGATTTTTTCCGGTATTCCGTGTTCGAGTATTATTTTCGTAACGAATTCTTTACTAATAGTATTCGCTTCTTGGTTTGGAATCGGAATAGCTTTACTAAATTTTGTTAAATTATCCTGGAAAGTCAGTAAATATTTATTTCCATTATTGGTAATTGTTAACGGTCCGACTATATCTAACGCGCATTTTTCAAATGGTTTGTCGGGCGTGTCAGTAATTATTAAAGGAACTTTATTTTTTCTCGATAGTTTATTCTTTTGACAAGATTCACATTTCGCGATATATTGTTCAACGTCTTTAGTTAATCCTTTCCAGTTATGTTGTAATCGGATTCTTTTAATTGTTCGTTCTACTCCTTGATACCCTCCTATAGGTGCATCATGATATTCTAATAATATCTGTTGCTTCTCTTCCTCTGTATATGTTTTCATATTATCAGCGTCTGTTTCTTCCTCTTCTTTTTCTATCTTCAAAATTTCTTTATCTTTTCCTCTTGACGTTTCTGGTATCGCGTTGCGACTTAGTGCGTCAGCGTTCGCGTTCGCTCGTCCGGCTTTATGGATGATTTCATATTCATATTCTTCTAATTTTAATCTCCATCGGATCAGTCTTGATCCGGGGTCGTTTACATTAAATAGCCATATTAGTGGTTTATGATCGGTAACAATTTTGAATTTTGTTCCATATACGTATGGCCTAAAATGTTTAACAGCCCATACAATTGCTAATAATTCTTTTTCTGTAGTATTATAATTTTGCTCCGCCTTTGCCAGTATTCTGCTGGCGTAAGCAATCGGTCGGTCGTTGCCTACCTCTCCTTGTGATAACACTGCTCCGATCGCATAGTCGGATGCGTCGGTGGTCACAATAAATTCTTCTGTAAAATCAGGATATTTTAGGACTGGTGCAGTCATTAATTTTTCTTTCAATAATTCAAACGCTGTTTGCTGCTCTGTTGTCCATAAAAATTTTTCTGATTTTTTGGTTAATTTTGTTAACGGTTTTGCAATTTTTGAAAAATCTTCAATGAATTTCCTGTAATATCCAGCTAGTCCTATGAAGGATTGGATATCTTTCACTTTCTTCGGCGTCGGAAATTCTTTTATTGCCGTTAGTTTTGACGAGTCTGGAGATATTCCGTTTTCGGAAATAATATGACCCAGGTATATTACCTCCTTGCGTAAAAATTCGCATTTATCTGGCTGCAATTTTAAATGAGTTTTTCGCAATTTTTGCATTACCTCCTTTAATCGCTTGTTGTGCTCCTTTAGGCTTGATCCGTATATGACGATGTCATCAAGGTAGACTAAGCATCTAAGACCTTGCATTCCCATTAATACTGAATTCATCAGCCTTTGGAAAGTCGCTGGTGCATTCTTTAATCCAAACGGCATTCGATTAAATTCGTAGTGTCCGTAGGGAGTTGAAAAGGCAGTTTTATTTTTATCCTTTTCAGCCATTGGAATTTGATGATATCCTGACGCTAGATCTAGTGTGGTGAAATATTTTGCATTTCCCAGTTGATCTAGAATATCAGTAATATTAGGCAATGGGAATGAGTCGCCTATAGTTAATTCATTTAATTTCCGGAAGTCTATGACTACTCGGAGTTTCGGTTTTCCTGATACATCTGTTTTCTTTGGCACAACTAATAATGGTGCGTTCCACTGACTCGTGCTTGTTCTGATAATTTCATCTTGCAGCATTTCTTGTACTTGCCGATTTACTTCCGCCTTATGTTTCTCAGGTAATCGGTATGGTTTCACGTTCACCGGCGCGGTGTCGGCACGCGTACTTATCTCATGCTCGACCGTCGCGGTGCATGTCAGTGGTTCTCCTTCCAAATGGAATATATCATCGTATTCTTCACAAATTTCTAAAAGTGTTCGTTCTTCTTCTTTATTTAGATGGTGTGTTCGCAATAAGTGTCAAATTCGCTGCTTGCGGGATATATTATTTTTTATTTTTCTTCCCGTTTCTATGAGGCTTATTTCCCTTGTATCTTCCTCCGTGTCTTCTAGTGTGACTATTGGAGTAGGTATTTCGACTTCTTTATCTGTTGTATTTATCATACTTACAGGACATGCAAAATTTTTGGGTTCCACCAGGCAGCTTCCAATATATACTCCTGGCGCTGTCTCGCTTGCTCGGATTATTCCAACATTATTCTGATTCACGGCTGCCTTGATAATTGTCTCGCTGCGTGGTTTCAGGATTATTTTCTTGCACGGATGTAATTTGAATATACTATCCTTTATTTTTATTTGATTTCGTCTATAATCGCAGATTGCTGTTTGTTTTTTAAGGAAATCTATTCCTAAAATTCCATCATGTTCTATCGCTATGTCGTCCTTTATTATGTAAAAAGCATGTTTAATTTTATGATCGTTAATTTTAATTGTAGCGTACAATTTTCCTAATGTATATATTTTATGTCCACTTATTCCAGTAAGTGCAGTTTTTTCTTCGTAAATCAATGCGTCATCTTTTAAATTTTTTAATTTGATCAGAGAAATAGTTGATCCGGAATCATACAGCATGTTGATTTTTCCGCCTTTTACTTCGCGAATTGGCAAGGTTAATTGCAATAATTCGTCTCTCTGCGGTGCATGCATATTCTTGACATGCGTTACACGATACTCTAGAGCAGGTCGCGGTTGTTTCTTTCTCGCTTCCTCTTGCTCTTCTTCCTCACTATTGCTTAAAGAGTCAGTGCTCTTTTTCCTCTGTCTATACGGGGTCTTTTGTTCACGCATGCTTCCTGTATGTTTTATTTTATTAACTGGCTTGGAGTTATGGTTATTTGTACCGTTTATTTTAGGATGTCCGTTCAAGTTCCAGCATTCCTCACGAGTATGTCCTGTCTTTTTACAATGTTTGCAAAATTTACTCATAGTATTTATTCGTGTAGACTTTTCCGGTTTTGGTAATGTGAATTTATTACTGCTTCGACAATCGCGTCCGTAGTGTCCAGATTTTCCGCATTTATAACATTGTATGTTAGTATCTCGAGTTGGTCGCGTTTTAACGTCGAATTTATTTTTATAGGAGAAGCCGGATGCTCGTGTTACAGACGGGCCGATAAGCTTCTCCTCCGCGCTCGCGCCATTTATCGCTTCTTGGAGCGAAGTATATCTTTGTGATCGCACAAGAATTTTTAATTCATCGCGTAATCCGATTTGAAAATTTATTAGCGCTTGTTTTTTAATGGTTTCTTGTATTGCTTGTTTAAATGAAGGAGGCCGTTCTTCTCCTTCCACCATGGACTCATATAGTTTCATGGCTAACGTATCGACACGTTGGCCGAATGCATGGGCGGTTTCGCTTGACTTTTGTTTTAAAGAATTAAATTCTATCTGTAAGTGTGTTGTACTTTGCTTCGCTTGATAGCAAGTTTCGAGTTGTGTTTTTAATTCTTCAAATGTCTGGATATCTCGCGTTCGAAATCTTGCATGGCTTTACCTCTTAATTTAGTATACAAGATTGCTTGTACTAACGATTCTTCGTCCGCGGGATTAATATTTTGTACCGCGTACGTACAAGCGTTTAAGAATTCCTGTAATCTATGTCGCGTCGTCCCATCAAACTCGGGAATCATTGTTCGCGCTTCTTTTAATGATACATAGTGCGGGGCTGCGCTACGTCGGTTTCGTATATCGCGTTGAGTGCGTCCGTACGTTACGTCGAGTGGGACAATGTTTGCATTTACTCGCGTTTCGTTTAAATTTGCTTGTGCGGTTTGTATCTCTCGCATTTGTTCGCGCATGTACTGCATTTCGGTTTGCATTTCGCGGAAACTGTGTACGAGTTCGGCGAGTAATACGTTACTCGTTCCTTCGGCCGGCTGACCTGCGTCCTCATAGGCCGCGGCTGCGTTTAGTTCGGCCTGTTGCGCTCGCATGCGTTCGATTTCTCTATCGACGGCTTCGTTTTCCATATTTACTTGCGCACGTGGCTCGAATAAACTAATATCAACTGATAACGGTGAATAATTTCTTCGTACTGTAACGCGACTTGGTCCGTCTTGTACAGTGTTATCGTTATTACTCGGTTCGTGTTCCTCGGATGAATTAGAACTCGAATAGTGTTTTTCTAAATTTTTTCGCACGCTTCTACGAATATCGCGAGCAGCCTCTTCTGCTACTCGGATCGGAGTTACAATTCCGAATCTATTTGCCAATCGCGCTGGCACGCTCAGAAAACGCGGACTCTTAAATTTTACTTGTTTTGACGGTGCTGACATTTAAATAAAGTTCGACTTACAGTAGTAGCACGGTGATTCGCATGGTCGTAACTTATCAGGTCGCTTATCGTATCGCTCGACTGTTGATGCTGCTGGTGGGTCGTTGTCCCGTTGGTGCGCTATCCGTCGGTGATGCGTTGTTCGTCTGCGTTGCGTTGCCTTGGCCGTGGATCGACGTTGGTCCTTGAGCGCTGGTCCTTTCTGCTTTCAGCTGCTTGGCCGTGATTTCCTTATCACTGTCGTCCGTGTGCGTTGCTGGTTGAGACTATCTGCTTTAATGTAGCCGGTGCTCTCTCCAGTTTATTAATTTTGTATTTTCTTTTTGTTGCAGGCGTTAAGGATCCAGGATGGTCCTCGATCTCGGCTATCCCACCGCTGCCACCAATAATGTCGTGCCCGGCGGGGCACGGGGTGTGGGGTAGCCGGGAGTATAAAATAGAACCGTATTATCCTTTAGCGTTTTTATTGTATTTTTAGTTTACAAATATATATTCGCTTAATATCTTCTATTCTTATCAGTTTCTTTCGAGCCTTCTCTTCGTTGTCCTTTCCTCGAATCGTTCGTAAATAGATTTAGAGCGTTTACAATTTCTTTGGGTGTCTTCGTTGCACAATTTTAACGGTTTAGCACTCGGCACTACTTTAGTGATTGATTTATTGCTTGTGACTGTCCGCCGCGGATTTGCGGTGGACGGCTTTTATTCCCTCTGTTTTGAAGGGTTTTTTGGAGGGGATCGCCTGGCAACATGACCATATATGGTCATGGGGTTTTCTGTGGCGTTCATAATCAAAATGCAAGCGAAGGAAGTTCAAAGTCGAATTCCTTCGTTAGCGTCTTTCGCCTTTCCGGTGAGCGACGGTAGTTCGCTGAGTTAGCGGTTCTTGGCGTGGCTCGCGAATGTTCTTTACGATATTCGCGAATGTTTTATATAATTACTAAAATAAGTTATAGTCTCTCGGGCTATAACATCATATAAAGTCGCGAATATGAATAAAAGACTAAAAATATAGTAATTATTATTTTAATTTCTATCACTTTAATTTCTGATATCTGATACAAGCAAATGAGAGTCAGAATATTAAACTGATTGGAATCAATATGATAAATGAAAAATTATTCATGTACTGCCTATTTGAGGTATAAAGCAAGAATTTAATTCTAAATATAATAAATTACATCTCAAGTTTTACAAGTTACATTTACTTTTATCATTTACTTTGTTATTAATTTAATTAAATTGAATTAGTCCTTCGCTATATGAGATATAACTACGATATAACATATTACATATATGTTATTTTCTAAGAAAATTCTAATTAACTTGCCGATAATATTGTTATTTAGCACTTGTAATAATCAATTTTGTTGCATTTATATAACATTAATAAAAGTAAGCGCAAATCTTGTGCAGTTTCTGCTGTCAATTTGCCATCAGGTTGCATGCGCAGATTCTACTCGGTTTCTGCTGACAATCTAACATCAAATTGCACGTGCAGATCCTGCTCGATTTCTGCTGACAGATTCTGCTAGCAGAACTCAAGCTTAATGCGGACGCAGTTGATGCCAATCTGCCGCAATATTCTGTTTGAATCTGCTCGCATGCTGCTGGCAGACTGCTAACATTTTGCTTACTGGGTATTACATGTATATTGAACTTGTTATTTTAAATAAATAACAAATGAATAATTTTTATTAAGTAGCCAAACATTTATTTCTCCGACTAAAATCGATTTAACATCTGAAGTCTCTCTATTGAGATTGTATAAGAAATTAAATCGAAGTAATATTTCTAATTTTATCTGTCATTCTTTGCAAACTTTATATAATACTCATAACTAAAACTAAATACGAGAGAGATAGCGCTCATAGCGGTAAACGAATGAACTAACGATTATTGGTTTTACAGTGAATTTTACTTTAATAATTGTTAAAGTCTGATCGCAAAAATCATGTTATATAAAAAATTTTAAAACATTTTTTTATGGGATCAATGTACTAACTAATGATATTAATAATAAAATAATCGTCACTTCATGACTGAAAAATGACGTCAAAATAATGTTATATCGAAACGTCAATATAAAATCATGTAAATCAGTTATTTTGATGACATATGATCAAAAATGTCCAGTTTGGAACATTAAAATGACGTGTGCTTTCTACCTGGGAATTAATTATTTAATATAATTATATTGTAATATTATATAATTTAATAATTATAATTTCTATTTTTTTAAGCATAAAGTACTTAATATTTTTTACATATTTTTTCCCTTTTTTTTGTTACATGTAATATATTTCCCACAGGGCACAAAGACGTCTAAAAGATGACTAAAACTGGACATATTTTCGTCAAAGACGTCTTTTAGTTAGAGACAATAGTCGACGAAAAGTCGGCTCATGACCCGATTTTAGTCACTAATCTGTCAAGCCAAAAGATGATTAAAAGATTACTAAAAGACGACTAAATCATATCATAATTTTTAAACGAAACATACATATTTCAATCCCTAAATAATAATATAATTTATCTATTTCATATAAAATTTTACATAAAAATGCAATATGCAAGTATAAATTATAAATAAAATTTTTATACAAAATTTTATTTATAATTTATACTTGCATATTGCATTTTTATGTAAAATTTTATATGAAATAGATAAATTATATTATTATTTAGGGATTGAAATATGTATGTTTCGTTTAAAAATTATGATATGATTTAGTCGTCTTTTAGTAATCTTTTAATCATCTTTTGGCTTGACAGATTAGTGACTAAAATCGGGTCATGAGCCGACTTTTCGTCGACTATTGTCTCTAACTAAAAGACGTCTTTGACGAAAATATGTCCAGTTTTAGTCATCTTTTAGACGTCTTTGTGCCCTGTGGGAAATATATTACATGTAACAAAAAAAAGGGAAAAAATATGTAAAAAATATTAAGTACTTTATGCTTAAAAAAATAGAAATTATAATTATTAAATTATATAATATTACAATATAATTATATTAAATAATTAATTCCCAGGTAGAAAGCAAATTCTAGACTTTAAAAGGTCGACGAAAGGACGTCTTGTTTTAGTCGTCTTTTCGACATGACGAAAAGACATCTATAAGACGTCTTTTTCGCCATGTCCAAAAGTCGACTTAGAAAAGACATCTTTTCGTCGTCTTTTAGTATTTTGTGCCCTGTGGGTTCGCTTATAACAATTATTTATTTCTTTATTTTATGTTTTTCTTTTTTAGATATATTATTAACAATTTATTTCTATATATTTTACATTAAAATATATTTTGAATTAATAATATTGTATGTATCATGAGCTAGAGAGAAAGAGAACAGAATAAGTATGTAAGTGAAAGAGTAAGCGAGATAGAAGTTCAGATGGCATTACTGATCAATTTACTTATTTCACGCATGCGTACACCATTTTGGCCAACACTGACATCAAAGGAGCCGACAAGGAGTTGTGCTACTATATATACTGTGGTCATACTTCGAGACTGTGAAAAATTTTCTGACAACGTGTATAATCGGTTTCGCAGTGTCTTCCGTTTATCTCATAGACTTACTAGAATAGACTGCTCATGAAGGTAGTGAGGGTATCCGTCATTGAGAAAAGGATAACTGTCGTTAAATATGAGTTTCTATCTCTTCCTAATGCAGAGTAGTGGGGAAGCATAACGAATAACGACCAATAACGGTGTCAGAGCGTAAGTGTCAGAGTATGCGTATTGTCAATGTGAGCTAAGTCACGCCCACTAGAAAGAGATAGAAACTAGAACTCATATTAACGACAGTTATCCTTTTCTCAGTGACGGATACCCCCACCACCATAATGAGGGCTCATGAGCAGTCTATTCTAGTAAGTCTATGATTTATCTATACTTCAACCATAGAAAATCATAGAAAAGGATTTTTAATTCTATGGCCGATATTTATAGCCCGGTCTTATATTTAAGATCATCTTAAGAACTCATTCAACCAATCAAATAGCTACAATGCAGCTATTGATTGGTGGAATGAGAGCTTAAGACGATCTTAAATATAAGATCAGACTATGAATTTCGGCCTATGCAGGCAATAAAAAATGCCATCCGCCCAAAAATTACAATGTTTTGTCGATAAAATAGATAGGTTGAGGGATTTCTTAAAATTCTGACTGAAAAGCGGCAAAATGATTGACCGCATTCAGCGGACTTAATAGTTGAGCAACATTACTAGATTTTCCGATGTAACTCGACGCTGATTGGTCGGACCTAAATGTAGAAACTATATTCGATTGCTACTTAGCGGTTGAGTCCGCTGAATACGGCCATTGCCTATCGTACGAAGGATCCCGGATTTAAGGCCGATATTCATAGTCCGGTCTTACATTTAAGATCATCTTAAGAACTCATTCAACCAATCAAATAGCTACAATGCAGCTATTTGGTGGAATGAGAGCTTAAGATGATCTTAAATGTAAGACCGGACTATGAATACCTTAATCCTGGTACAATTATGAAATTTATGAATTTATGAAATTTATGAAATTTTCTACGATACAACCATCTTATTCCCCTTTCCTCATCATTCTCCTTTCTTTATCTCTTTTCCCTTGATTTATTGGCTGCATTCAGCGGATTCAATCGCTAAATAGCAACCGAATATGATTGATCTCTATTTTCAGGTCCGACCAATCAGCGTCGAGTTACATCGGAAAATCTAGTAATGTTGCCCAACTGTTGAGTCCGCTGAATGTGGCCATTGATTGCGATATTCTACTTTACCAGTTGATAATCGAACGTTTAAGATCCTTACAGGATCGTTTGCATAAGTAAATCAAAGACCACCTACCGTAAAATTCTCTCGATTATTCTCGATGAATCGGAATGAGTTTCCGATGGGCGGGATATTCACGTTTCGCGATTAAGCGCGGAACAGATTTAGACGTCGCATTGATCATATCCGCCGTGAGGATGCTCGTTTCGGATACTTTAACCTAACTTCGCGTCTCCTTAATGTCAATTGATGCCGATGCAAGTATGGCGGACCTGAGCGATACAAACTCGCACGAGATGACAGAGAATCATGTTAACAAGCGGTGCAATAATCAGTGGGTGCGCTTGAATGTCGGCGGGACGTACTTTCTGACGGCCAAGACAACTCTGGCGAGAGACCCCAACTCGTTTCTATACCGGCTCTGTCAGGAGGACTCGGATCTTATTTCGGACAGGGTTAGTTGACTTGGTTAGTTGCTTCTTACCGGGAATTTCAAACAAATCCTCTCGATTGTAACAATGTCGCGTTCGCGCGCTTATGTCATGTTATCAATGTTGACACTTGAGTCGGAGTTGGAATCGATTAAGCTTCTCTCGGCGAGGTTCCTGCCCGAAATGGTAACATGATGGTAAACGCTTTGTTTTTAAGGACGAAACGGGAGCGTACCTGATAGACCGCGATCCCACGTACTTTAGCCCAGTATTAAATTATCTACGTCACGGCAAGCTGGTCATAAATAAGGATCTAACGGAAGAGGGTGTGCTGGAGGAAGCTGAGTTTTATAACATCACCGAACTCATTCGGTTAGTCAAAGAAAGAATCATATTGAGGGACACTAGACCACAGAGGGATTCCAAAAAGCACGTTTATAGAGTTCTCCAGTGTCACGAGGATGAGTTGACGCAAATGGTATCCACGATGTCGGATGGATGGAGATTTGAACAGGTACTTAAGGTTCAATTTATATCTTGTTAATCGCACATGTTTATAAAATTTCCTTTCCTGCACAAGTGTTGTCGGATTTAATAATATATAATGAGTATGTTTACACGGCAACGTTAATCAAGTTTAGTAACAACCGCTGTAACTACTGGTGTTATATGCCGTGTAAACCGTGCTTTACACCGTTATTACACCATTTGTAGTAACGCTACTCCTACTGAGGAAAAAGAGTAGACTTACAAATCCAGCTTTAAGAAGATGTGTAAACGCTACAAGAGTTATAACAATTGTATTACCAACTTGAATAATCAAGTGACGAGTATACAAAAACTGTCAATAAGTTAAAGTAAATATGTAATTGCTATGTAATTGCTATGTAATTGATTGTATTGCTCCTTGCGTGTAAACGAACATCACTTTTAGGGAGTTATAACTATGATTGTTACTAAACCATATTAACGTTGCCGTGTAAACGTACTCAATAATAAATTATAATAATATATAATAATAAATTATAATAGTATACAATAATAAATTATATAATAATATATAATAATAAATAATATATAATACAATAAATTCTTATTCAATAATATATAATACAATAAATTATTATTCCTTCCTGTTTATTTTACTCTTTTTTAGCTAATCAACATAGGTTCTCAATATAACTATGGTAATGACGATCATGCTGAATTTCTGTGTGTTGTAAGCCGGGAATACGGAGCTAGTCAGCTCAGCAGTAAGGAAGAGGAGTCTACAGATCGTGTCAAGGTACCGCTATCCTATTCGACTGTTTCCCATCCTTATTTGAGCCAAAGTAGTCACGGCTAATGCGACTATTTTATGTTTTTGTTACATCCTAAACTAGTATATCGTAATCATAGGTTTATTAATCGAGTTTCAATTTATATTCTTACTAAATATCTTTACTGTTTAAGTGAAAATTATATGTCCTCTAAATAATCTGTGTCGGTATTGTTACCTTCCATGTTGGGTTGCATGAGATATTCATTGAAGCGATAAATGTCTAACTACTTCTTCAGCTGGGAACACAAGTGCTTTCCTGTTTGGAAGGAAGGATTGGATTACAATGAAATTTCCAAGCACTTCACTGTGTCATAAGTGGAAGAAAATTATTCCCAAATCTATTTTTGCAATCCAACATTGATTTTCTTGATTTCTAACATTATCGTAAAATCAAATAACATCTTTTCTCAATTTTTACACGAATAAATTAAACAGTATTATTTTTGGTATTAACAATTTGCCTAAACTGACTGATATACACAGTTCTGGATTGGGTAGAAAACCAAAGATAAGCTTTATTGCTATGTGTATAATATAAAGAATAAGATACACACATTTACATTAAGGGATAAAGTTTTACTTTACATCTTATCAATCACGCTTGATTTAGCAATATATGTCTATCTACATTTTTCTACAATACCTTTGACAATTGCTTAAAATTATTTCGCTTAATCATTTTGAAAGAAATACGAAAAAAGAAAATTTCTTGTAAAATTATATTTTCAATAATAGATTATTTTTATTATGTGGCTCATTTATTTTGCAAGTAAAATTTCTGAATAGAGATACATCTATAGAATTAAATTTTGTTTTGTTTTTTATGTTTTGTACATACATTTCCATACATGTGTCTGGTGCTTCAAATACACATATTTACTCATTAAAATCGTATTAACTGAAAAAAAAAGAAATTACCTAATAATTTGTAAAACTCAGAGGCCTCTTCGCATGTTGAGCATGTTCTGCCTCTGATATTTGTTGTATGTACCATATTATTATTATTATTATTATTATCATTATTATCATTATTATTATTATTATTATTATTATTATTATTATTATTATTATGTATCGTTCGCATGCCGTTCGTTAAATAAAGAATTTTTTCTTTCATTGGTTTGGTTACTTTATGACCTGTGACCTGCATGAATTTTTTGTTGCATGCTAAATTATTCATTGTATATTATGTCCATTATATAACATAAGAATAAATTGTCCACCCTGTATATTTATTATTAAAAGCTTATATATATATATATATATATATAATTTATTTGTATAATATAAAAGATATTATCTCTTAAATTATAAGGTGTACATGTACTAAAAAAATATATGGGATTGCAGTTTGATAAGGGATAGCTTTTGGGAACTGAAATGTTATAGCTAGTTGTAAATTAGCATACCGGGACATTTCTTATATTTTACTGATTTTATATGGCGCAACAATGTAACAGAGGCGGAACATATTTTCGATAATAAAAATCTATATAATTTTAATTCCCATTACAATTCATATAATTAAGTAATTATAATTATTATAAGTGACTAATACGTTTTTATTAAGCTTAGACTATTGGATTACATTCTAGGTTTTGCAGCAGAAGGGTTCACGCATGTAATGTCTAGATCCGTCCTTGTTTTCCCTTGCCTCCTTTAGTTTGATCAACTGCGCTGCGACAAGAACTGAAGACTGTTTATTTTTTTTTTCTTTGTTTTTACGTTTAAAGTGTTAAATTGTAAAATCCGAAACTCTGTTTCCATTATACTCTCTACTTCTAGATAATGTTAATCTACAGGGACATTACTGTGCAAAGGATAAGGAAATTTTATAGTATATGTATTTATTACATAGCACAAGATATATATATATATATATATATATATATATATATATATATACAGAGTGTCCCAAAGTCCCGGACCAGTCGAATATTTCATAAACTATGCACTTTAGAAAAAAATGTTTCAGACAAAAGTTGTATGGCTTGAAGGAGGCCATCAGTGGCAATGATTTGACATGGGAGAATCATTTGAAAGTCACGTGAAGATCACCGTCAATTTCTTAAATGGAACTCCCTATTTTTTATTAAATATTCTGGTAGCTCACGTCGAGAGCTTTCCAAAACACTATAATTAAATTAGTTTTCATTAAGTACTTTCCGAATTGTGAGGCTTGAAATTATTTCTTAATTTTACATAAACCGTAAAATATTCATTTTTCGATTATCTTACTTAATACTTTTATGTACAAAATAATGAGAGGAATCAATTGGTGTAAAGAAAACACATAGTTGTTTTTAAGAAAAAAATATGTAATTTGCAATTAATAATTACATGACTCTCCAAGGTCAAATCATTGCCACTATCTGATGGCCCCCTTCAAGCCATACAACTTTTGTCTGAAACATTTCTTTCTAAAGTGCATAGTTTACGAAATATTCGACCGGTTCGGGACTTTGGGACACCCTGTATATTGTACATGAAGCTTTAACAACCGAAAGTATCATTATTAATTTATTCCTCTTCATTAACAAGTGTCTGCAGAAAGAAAAAAAATGTCGATCTCACAAAAGGGATATAGTTTAATAATTTCATACAGTTTATACAGATATGTAATCGCTATATGATAAACATAAACCTTCCTTTTTATAAGCGCACTCATCTGCTTTAAAAGCAGATACGCTAATTACATATAGTCAGAGAGTATAGTTATATTATTAATAAATGACGTTGTTCTGTATAAAATTTCTGCAGTTGTGTTTTAGCTTTATCAAATATTTTAAATGGACAATGGTATTTGTGGAGGCAATTGGTTTCGTATCAATTTCTGCGATAATGATAATTTTTATCTTCGATAGTGCTACACGTGGTAGAGAATGTCGTTTTTTTGTACCAAATTGTACAGAAATTCTTTTTCCCACATCCGTGTCCTTATTATAAGATGTCTAAATTACCTTCGCACTGCCGCTATAAAACATAAAAATAATATTTGTATACCTTGTAAAACGTGATAATTTTCAAAATCCAAGATGCATAACTGTAATAACTAATGAATATGTAAAACTGACTTTTTACATGTATTGTTAATATGGAAAGAGAGATTTTTTCTAAACAAAGCAATTTTATTACACTACTCATTAAGGATACAGATTTGAGATGTGTATAAAAAAAAAGTAGATGCTTAATCTCTTTGTAAATGCTATTATGCGCGAAGAAATTTTAGAGAGCGAGAAACACATGTACAATTTACAAGATTTTGAAATATTCATTGCACATTTCATGTAGGGTATACAAAAGATTAGGGAGGAAAAAAATAATAAGAAATGCGATTTCATCGTCGCACATTCATAAAGTGTACAATTGGAAAGAAATTTGCTACTCATTTTCGTTCATAAATATTTGCACAGTTGCGGTATGATCTCCTACATCTGTAGTAATAAATAATATTTGCGATAGATGTAGGTTGTCAATTATCGAAGGCCTATTAAGAAAGTGTCCTATAGACATTACATATATATATAATCATATTTAAACATATTGAATGGAACAACATAAGTAACATTGGCTTTTTATAAATGCCATTAGTATTATAATATATGTGCGAAATTATATTATTTTACACACATACACATATATGATATATTTTTCTTTAAAAGGATATACAGTTGAATAATATTTGTTATTAATTGATTCAATACAAACAAAAAAAACAAAATTTCTGCTACATAATTGTATATAAAGTATCAGATATTTGCAAACAGTAAGATATGTAAGGAGACGTTACAAATTGGCTGGTAATGATTAATTTGGTATTGTGGAATTTTAGGACCAATATTGTTAATCTCGCACACTATGTACAGTGTTTTTTAGACTAATATAAGGCATTATTTTCTAGCTCAAATTCCTGTATCTAATCATGAATTTTTAGTCGATATTAATGTTCATTATTATTATATTACACATATGCCCCTCTTTACTCATACTAAAGTTTGTACTTTCATATAGATAGAGAGATTTATAATGATAGATAAATTTATTGATTATTCAATGTTTGGCGTTAAGGAACAAAAGGTAGTTATTTACATTGGAGACTAAAGTTATTATATATATATATATATATATATATATATATATATATATATGTATATATATAGATTATATTATAAGATGTAAAAAATTATCATATATATGCAAATATTTGCAAACAAATGGTATCATATGACAGTTTTCTGTGTTTCCAGTTAGGTCAATTTAAAAACTCTCTAAGTTAGGTATTCTCTCTGTTAAGTATCAATAATTACAACAAAATTTTACAAGTACTTTAATTTTGAATTTAATTTAACTGCACATCTAATGTACTGAATTTGTCGCAAACACCCAAGTTACTATATTATACATACACGTATTCTTAATTAAAGATATTTTACTGAAACAAATTTCACACATTTTTATACATATAAGCATCTCCATCCTATTAATGTATACAGATGTATTATAACGAAATCAAAAAAAATTACTTAATGCTAATTCAAAATATAAGATAATTCTGGTATAATAAAGATTTAGAATTACAACTTTCTATACGCAATAATTCTTATCTAATAGTGCAGTTACAATATGAGTAACAAATAAAAAAAAATAGATATTAAATACTGTTAATTATTTTTCGCCGATGCAGTCACAATCTCATATATATGAATAAATTATATAAATTAAATTACACCAAATCATTTTTGCATTATAAGTAATCATTTACGGCAACTATTACGATATCATATTATTGCTAGGTAAGTTTATATTAAGTAGATCTTATAGTGTGTGATTTATAAAGTAAGATGGAAAATTAAATACAAATCGTTTGTATTAATAATTAATTGTAACTTGTATGAAATAAAAGATTTATTGTACCATTGAAATTAAGCAGCTTTTACTCCTACTTTCACTTCTCTGTTGTCTTTTTTTCTGTATTTGTATACATAATAATAGCCATAGCATTGTATTTTTAGAATTGTACAAATGTATGAAAATGAAAATATGTATGCATATTAATTCCAAATCGATACAAATATATTTATATATATATATATATATATATATACACACACACACACACTGTGTGTAACGATACAATTATAGATTCTCAAACAATAAATAAAAAGTATAGAAAGATAAGTTTGAGCATAATGTTTCCAGATTTCTAAAAAACAAATAATCTCTTAAGGCATGTTTGCTATTGTTTTTAAGGGCTGATCAAGATATCTAGCCAATGCTTGTGCTTTTTCACGTAACAATCCAAATCCTACATTTTCCTTTGCATACAAACATAAGAGCAAGTTAGCTACTTCTGTGATAACAACTTTTCCTTCCTGTAAATGGGAAGAATATGAAAAAATTTTTTACTGTGTAAAATAATAAAAATTTAGTATATCATTACCATGCAATCCATTAAAACATAATGCAATTCATCTTCCTTAAAGGCGTTTCTCCCATTCTTTTCATAAGCTGTCCAAATATTACTTGTAATAGCAGCTGTAACTCTAGCATCTTTATCTCCATAACCACTGTATGCTAGTAATCCTCCATCTCTGTTAAGTAATCTAAAATATTACATATTAAAGTAAATATTTACAATAAATTTATAAATATACCATATAAATTTAGAATTAATCACATTGTACACACATATGCGCAAGAAAAGAGTGCATATAATGAACATATTTTTATTTTATCAAATTGAACAAGTGTGCAAAATGTACTTTAACGTACAAAAATAAAAATTTACCGGTAAATTGTTTGTAAAAAAATAAAACTTATTAATAACGTTATTTTTAAAAAATTCTCACTCACAAAGTATTTTCCACGCCCCCAGTATTAGCTTGACTTAAAACCTGCGTAAGAGCTTTCGGCTTCAACATATTTCTATTATTTTGTTATTAAATTCTATTTATTTATTACATATATATGTGCATATATAGACATATATAACAAATATGAAAGTATTTATTATTATACACTGCAATGCATGTACAAAATTTATTTTAATTTATTTAAGGTTCTAAATCAGCTGTTATCATTATGCGAATTATTATAATTCTTCTTTTAAGGTACGTTCCAAAACGTACTCTCCGAGGAAAATTTTCTCGATAGCCGTTCCAAAACTCTTTTAAGCGTTTCCGATTGGTTAGAATCAGTCATCGAGGCCCGGTTCCATAACTCGAGTTAGAGAACCTCTAGGAGAGAGAATGGACAACTGATCAAGCTTTTTCATGATTGGCTGGCAGAAAATGTATCAATTTTAGCTATTGCGACGCCAATGCAAAATATGATGACACACAAATAGGACACACATGACACACATATATTAAACTATTTGTGTGTGTATCATATTTTGCATTGGCGTCGCAATAGCTAAAATTGATACATTTTCTGCCAGCCAATCATGAAAAAGCTTGATCACATGTCACATGATCAGTTGTCCATTCTCTCTCCTAGAGGTTCTCTAACTCGAGTTAATCGGAATTTAATACGTTAAACTGGGTCGTGATTGGTCCATTCACTACTTAAACTCGGATTAACTGGAACTAGGCCCGAGTAAAATTTTCCTCGGTTACTTGCGTTTTGAAACGTAATCTTAAGTGGCAAGGAGCGGGGAGACTCCTACTCATGTTGCCATGGTAAAGTAGTATATGTAGATGATAAAATAAATAGTGATTCTGGAAACAGTAGAAGATTAGGGGTGCTTTCCAGCAAGCAACACAGGCGACACCGTGTCGCTACAGTGTCGACACAGGTGCTTTCCAACTACGACACAAGTCGACACAATCGTACACAGCAAAAATGCTGTGTTCGCCTGTGTCGTCGTTTTGTAGCACCCCAGTGAGTGCCAACATAACATTTCATATTTGGTATCACTAATTTTTTTAAGAATGGTATTGCGTGATATTGCGTCAAAAAGACATCTAAAAGACGACTTAAAGACATCTAGACGTCTTTAAGACGACATAATGTTGTGTGGGAACGTTCTGAAAATTTAGACCTAGTGACAACTATTAAAAGTGACTGCCCTGCACTCTAGTGGCAAAATAAAATAGCTAAAAAGCGTTCCAGCTACAAGTCGACACCAGAGAGAAGCCTGAGAGGGGTCATGCTGCCCTTTTTCAGGGAACGCTTTTTCCCCGCCATAAAGTGGCGCTAACTGGATCCATTTTACGGCCGGCGGTACTACGTGGCCGGATCCACTTTTCGCTGCCACGGTAAAACGACCGATTGGTTCATGTCCGTGCTAGATCCATAATTGTGGATCTCAAAAGTACGAAACATATCATACATTTTTTAATTTTTATTACATATTATTAACAGCGCGTGATCTTTTTTCACTTTAGCATATATTATAAAGTAATATATATGTATATGCGTGTATAATATATATAAAATTAAAATGCTTATTTCACATAAAATTTAATGTTTTAATAATTTCAATAAAAGTATTTTAATAAAATATATATGTGTATGTTACTCCAATAATAAATATTACCAAAATGAAAAAAAGATCATACACAATAATGTTTCGTACTTTATTTTGAGATTCACAATAATTAATGAATCTAGCACGAACATACGGTCGTTTTATACACTTATATATATGTATATGTATATGTACATGTATATGTATATATATATATATATATATATATATATATACATATAGTGTACGCGGGAGTATGTGAAGCGAGAAGGTAATAAGAGGGAGCGAAATGGCAATAAGAGTGAGCGAGATAGGAATTGAACAAGCAACGATGAGATTATAAACTAAAAACTGAAACTCCTATTTTTTATTTTATCGATATGAAAGTAATTTTAATGAATTATTGAGATTTTTGCGATTAAAATGATATCAAATACGGTATCAATCGGATAAATGTAGTTAAATATATATAATCAAAATTTTTATTATCAGAACAATTAAAAATTATCCGATTTACGTCGTGTTTGATATCATTTTAATCGCAAAAGTCTCAATAATTCATTAAAATTACTTTCATATCGATAAAATAAAAAAATAGGAGTTTCAGTTTTTAGTTTATAATCTCGTAAATTGCGAATGGATAGAGGAAGTGAAGAAGCCGATTGTAAGAGACTTCGGAATTCTTTGATGATAGGTCATCTCGCTCGCTCTCGACTCGCGGTTTCGCTGTCGCTCTCGCACTTGACACGTCGTAAAGATAAGCGAACTCGGCTTCCTCGCGAATGTAAACATCTCATTAAATAAAAACTGAAACCCCTATTTTTTCATTTTATCGGTATGAAAGTAATTTTAATGAATTATTGAGATTCTTGCGATTAAAATGATACCAAACACGACATAAATCGAATAATTTTTAATTGGTCTGACAATAAAAATTTTGATTATATATATTTAACTACATTTATCCGATTGATACCGCGTTTGATGTTGTTTTAAAATTTGTCGTCATTGTCGCAAAATTTTCATTGTTCCATTACAATTACTCGCATACCCTTACAAAATATATCTTAAAATTATTAATTTATTTATTTCTCACAATTTGTCATCGGTCGCTTGCCAGCGGCAGGCTTGATAACGAGATGAATATGACAGTATATGAGTACGTAAGAGCGAGTGAAACAATAACAGAAGCGAGCGAGAGAGAAATAGTATGCCAGACTGCAAGAAAGACTCGGTTTTCGAGTCTTCGTTGCTTGTTCAATTCCTATCTCGCTCACTCTTATTGCCATTTTGCTCCCTCTTATTACCTTCTCGCTTCACATACTCCCGCGTACACTATATGTATATATATATATATATATATATATATACATATACATGTACATATACATATACATATATATAAGTGTATAAAACGACCGTATGTTCGTGCTAGATTCATTAATTATTGTGAATCTCAAAATAAAGTACGAAACATTATTGTGTATGATCTTTTTTTCATTTTGGTAATATTTATTATTGGAGTAACATACACATATATATTTTATTAAAATACTTTTATTGAAATTATTAAAACATTAAATTTTATGTGAAATAAGCATTTTAATTTTATATATATTATACACGCATATACATATATATTACTTTATAATATATGCTAAAGTGAAAAAAGATCACGCGCTGTTAATAATATGTAATAAAAATTAAAAAATGTATGATATGTTTCGTACTTTTGAGATCCACAATTATGGATCTAGCACGGACATGAACCAATCGGTCGTTTTACCGTGGCAGCGAAAAGTGGATCCGGCCACGTAGTACCGCCGGCCGTAAAATGGATCCAGTTAGCGCCACTTTATGGCGGGGAAAAAGCGTTCCCTGAAAAAGGGCAGCATGACCCCTCTCAGGCTTCTCTCTGTCGACACTGTGTAACACTGTGTCACACAGTGTATCACTGTGTTACCATAGCTGGAAAGCACCCTAGATGGTTATTAAAGGATGCTTTCCATTTAGCGACACAAGTCAACACAAACGTCATTCTATCTTTTTTCAATGAATAAGCCTAATATTACATTTGTCGTACGACAAATTTTTTAAGCACATGATTGGCTGCAGAATAGAAAATTTTTAAAGATTCAAAAAATTATTATCCCGCAACCAATCAATGTGCTTAAAAAATTTGTCGTACGACAAATGTAATATTAGCCTAACAATAAACAAAGATAGAATGACACTTGTGTCGACTTGTGTCGCTAAATGGAAAGCACTCAAAGGCTATAGCACACACTTTCCATAAAACATAACAGTAAGGTTTCGACCAATCGCGTTGCTCATTTGGCCGTCCGTAACCAAATTAAGCAACGCGATTGGTCGAAAACTTTCTGTTATGTCTTATGGAAAGTGTGTGCTATAGCCTTAAAGCCTGGAGCACATAACACGTCGTCTACAATGGCAGTAGGATTAATGGATTAAAGTTGTAACTTAAGAAATTGACCAATCACAGTCAAGCATTAAAAAAAAATACTCGACTGTGATTGGTCAATTTCTTGAGTTACAGCTTCAATCTATTAATCCTACTGCCATTGTAGACGACGCTTAAAAAAACTTAGACAGTAAACTTAAGCCTTAAACGAATCGATCAATTACAGTCGAGCAATAAGGCAACCATTTTGAAACTTAAAATTTAAAACGTAAGATTCAAAAATTCCATGACTGGAATAGTCCGATCTTATATTTAAGATTGTCTTAAGCTCTCGTTCCACCAATCAATAGCTGCTTGTAGCTATTTGATTGGTTGAATGAGTTTTTAAGATGATCTTAAATGTAAGACCGGACTATTATGAATACCGGCTCATAAGGATGAAATTCTTAAAGTTTTCGCACATGAATTGCCATACCATTAACGTAAACCGTAAATGTAAGCTGAAGAACCAATCAGAATATTGCTTTTGACGTCCCGCCATTTTAAAAATTACTAGATTTAGTTTTTATTCACTTACCCATCTTGTTTCTTTAGTATAATCATGGGATAAGGACGAATATTCGATTTTATTACCTATAATCCAATTTTATTCTCTATTATCGTTAATTTTAACCTTAATATACGCATATAAAAATGTTGATTATAACACTTGCTTACCGTTCCTATTATACACGATTATTTAACCTGCTAATTAATTATGTACTCCTTAATCGATATATAATAAGGACTTTTTATATATGTTAAATTTAAAATTTAAGCTTTAAATAAATGCGACCGAAATAAATAATTTAAATAAATAAGGTGTTTCAAAAGAACTATGGAATTAATTTTAAATGAATAACTACCAAATTATTTCAACTCTTTGAAATGCTTTATTTAAAACTTATTATGAATTCACGACCAGTGTAAATAATTTCCTTTATATGCTGCAATTTAAATTCGATTATTCTACCTGAATTGAGCTATATTTCTAAATCTTTTCTAAAATATAAGGGAAATTACCAAGCATATAGTATAACCAAATATAATGTCTGTTTACGAGTGTTCATGTGTAAGAAAGAAGTAAAAAGAAGTAAAGAAGAAAAAAGAGAAAGAGAGAAAGAAGAAAAATCGAATAAAGAAGGTATGTAAATATGT